TTCCTTAATATATACTCGATAGAAGGTCGGGGATAACTGTACCTATGTCAACTATGATATCCTTGAAAAGATTGAACTGTAAGAAGCTGGACAGTAATGTGTCTTCCAAAATATGCATTTGAAAGAGAAAGAGGACACACTAAATCATTTTGTAATTGTCTACAACGTAATCATGACATACTTGAATGACCTTTTACCACTCGATTTGAAGTTGAAAATAATGGGAAATGGAAGAATGCCGTGAGTGTTGCGTGACGAAATATTGTGAAAAATGTTTATTACAGTGTCCTAAAGAATTTTGGCTCATACGATCGAAGATATCCTAGTGTGTGTCTAGAAGATAGATTTTGCAAAATTTGTGGACTGCTATCTCAAGAAAACAGTAATTACACTGAAGATTATCAAGAGGATGAAGCAAATTACAGATTTTATGACCACTTTACCCAGAACATTCAGTTGATGTGCTGTGTTATTTTAAATATACACTGAGAAAGAAACGAACCATCAATGGGAAAAGATACAGAAGAAATGTTTTGAATGTTGTCTTTTACATGAATAGACTGAACTTTAAATTTTTTATACATCAGACATTTACATACCCATCCAGGTCATGCATTGAACTTACAGTCAGATCCTTGCTTGCAAAATATGTCTCTGGATTCCATGAGAACTATGATGACTTAGGTGCCTGCTTCTGTGTGTGTCATACATAATGTTTCTCAAACATATCCTGAATGAATTACAAGCATTGTCTAAATACCTACCAGCTAAGGAAGGAAAAGTATTTCAGCTTTTACATTGGTGGTCCAAAAAGAAACGGTCTTATATAACTCAAATAAGTAGCTTCACAGAAGATAGTATCGCTAAAAACCTGTGTGAGAACTTGTCAAGTATTTCTGACTTGGAATATGACAATTTCACTTTTCATTTCCTTCCTGGAAAAGTTGACGAAATGTTTGGAAACTGTTATAACAGACGCAAGTTTGGAGTAATTAGGCATAATGGATTTGACATTCTGGTGATCTGCAGATTTGATGGTCCTACCTTTGTTGGGAGAATTTACTGGTGGGTAAGTTCCATCTTATCTTCAGGAATTTATTCCAAGCAATACACATGCTGGCTGGCCGTTGAGGCATTCAAGCATTTCACAGGATGTTTACTGATGTAATTGTGTGTTTACATCAAAATGGAAGTTACAGTTTTAGATATAGCTTCAGTTTGCAATGACTCTGAGAAAATACTTGACGATATGAAAAGGAACAAATTACTGGCTTCCTCACAAACATGTAGCATATGCAATGTTATATGTTGCTGCAGAAAGACAAACAGAATGCTGATGGCCATAACTGACGATGTCCTAAATCGAGAAAAACAAAGTCAGTGAGATTAGGTAGCTTCTGGGAAGGGCAGAGGCTTAGTCTTGGTACTTTCTTCATGATATTGTATCTGTTTGGTATTGATGTACCTGCCCACTTGGCTCTCAAAATGCTGGATGTTTGTGAGACAACGTTGTACAACTGGTACAATTTATACAGAGACTTAATGTCTCGTGCATTATTAGATGAGCCGGTTATATTGGGGGGTATTGGCCATACTGTGGAGATGGATGAGAGCAAATGGGGTAGAAAGAGAAAATACCACATGGGTTCCAGTCAGGGTATTCCTACCTATTGGGGTTTTGGTCTCATAGACAGAGACACTTAAAATGCTCTTTTATTCAGTGTTGAGAACAGAACCACTGAAACATTACTACCCATAGTACTTGCCCATGTTGAAGTTGGCACTCAGATCATAACTGACGAATTTAAATAATATCTTTGCTTAAAGAGAAATCGTTATGAGCACCTAACAGTTTGCCACAAAATTAATTATGTAGATCCTCATACTGGGGCTCACACCAATACCATTGAAGGGTTTTGGGGTAATGCCAAACCAAAGTTTCAATCCATGCATGGTGTATCCAAAGAGTAGCTTGGTGCGCATCTTGATGAACTTATGTTCCGTTGGAACAACAAGAATGAGTGCATGTTTTCCCTCATGACAGATCTCATTAGGAAATACCACCCCTTTTACTAGTTTTTTTTCTGCTTGGTGTTCATAATTCTACAGAAACAGTATTTACTTGTTGGTAAATACTTCCAGGTCTCTGCTGTAAAATTATTTCCATCACAGTTTTAATTAACTGTTATGTATTTACCATTCCTCTTGAGTGGCATACAATTTCATTTCCCTCAACATGATTCAAGCGATAAACTTGCATACAGACACACTTAATAAACTGAACCTGATTGTAAGATAAGTTTCAATTTTATGCAAGCTTCTCAGCTCAGGTATAAAATTTTTTGTGGTCCGTCCTGATTGATCCGGGTTTCAGAAGTGTGTAGACTGGGCTCTGCCACATAAGTGTAGTGTAGCGCAGCGCAACTAAGCGGGGGAACTAGAAGAAGTAACATTCGTCACCACTCGCCCCTTTCCGTAACCTCCAAGAAGACTCGTCCCCAACTCGATACTTGTTATGTGCGAAAATGCGACAAACCAATCAGAACGCGCGTAAATGAGCGCGGTGTTTTGATGAAAATAATCCCGAGTACTTAAATCGTTTATGGCATTATGTCATTGCTTATCATGAAAAATATATATCGTCATATTGAAAGTACAAAGAACGTAGCTAAAAGGATTTTGCTGCCTAGTATGAAGTTTTTGATAAGAATCATGCGATTGACGGTGAGAGATTCAAATACACGCACGTGCGTTTGTTGACATAACGGCTCTCATGGGTCCAACTGGGTGTATTTCTGACGATCTTGCGGGCTTGTTATGGAGATTGTACGTGCGCTTCGACCAATTTTAGGAAATGTAAATTATAATCGCTACGAGTTTCAAAACTAATAATATCGTATTTCTATGTTACTAATCAACCCTAATCTTTATCATTGGGCTTATATTTCATAGCTTTGGGGATATTTCAGTCTGACTGTTTTTTGGTCATTCATATTTTTTTCAGCGAATTTATATGTATATGGATATCAGTGTACGCTTGTAGGTCCCAGGACGTATTATTTTCAGCAATACAAGCCCCTGTGGGTGTGACAGCAAGGTAACACGAATGTTCAGTTTGAGAAATATTTTAAAGTCATTTTTGAGTATCTGCTTTGGGATTTAATGTAGCTGAAATATATTTTTTGTATATTCAATAAAACAATTCCCATTTGTGATGATTAAACCCTATTAAGAAAATTAACTTAATTGGAAATATAAGGTGAACAGCTGGTAATAATAACATTAGAATATGTTTTAAAAATCTATGTTTTTCTCCTTCTTTTAGTTGTATCAAAGAGGCTTAATTCTATAAAATACATAAGTAAAAAAAACACCAAAAAACAACCTAGCAATACAATGTACATGTGCTTCGGTGATTTCTAGAAACATTGGAATCAAACAGGGATAGAGTTATCGTTCTTGTTTAAAGTAGTTCTGATGTTCATGCGCCAATATGAAATCCTTCCAGAGGGACACGAGCCGCTATTCGGCTTGTCCCGGAATAACACGAGTTGGTCACGAATGGAAGAAGTAACTGACAAGTCAGAAAGCATGGTCAACTTCAGCTGCGGCGTTGGCGTTGGCGAATTATGTAGTGAGAAAAGCCCCCCACAATTTTGTAAGTAATATTTTCCTTTCAAAATAGCTTAAGAACAGTTCCGAATTACTTTTCATAAGATTAAATAATCTTTTATGTCAATTATTGTGTTTTTTGTGAAGCACATGTCACGTTCTGCAAACTTGTTAAATTCCGGAATAGTCCTATCCATTTATTTGATAATTCAAACGTGTTGGGTATTTCTGTGTAATATCTTGCAATTATTAAATGCTTCTGAGTATAAGCATAAGTATAAATGTTCTAAAAGAATTTAGAGTAAGTGTTTTGGTAGACAAAGTTGTACATTTTTTAAATGTGTAATTTTGAAGATGATTTACATCAAGCTTTTTATGTACAGCTTGTACCTGTCAAATCAATAAGAACTGTCAAAACAAGAATTGTCAATGTTTAAGCAAGTCAAGAATTGTCACAAGTGTATTGAATATGTCCAGAAAGTAAAATGACTGAGTACAGAACCATGGGCTAATTATTTTTCTGCTACACTGATGAAGTGCGTAATTGGTTTCAAAATCCTGACGGTAGTACGTACATTCACTATGGACAGACTATACAAACCCGTTAAACCCAATATTTTAGTGGCCGAAAGCACAAATAGCTCGAATTCAATGAATTACTTAGACTTACATAACTTTGCACAAAAACATGAAGGTACATATGGATGGGAAACGTACCAATATGACCTTGATCATTTTGATTTGTGCACTGAGCCTTTGCACAACTCTCACTACCCTTTTACATTGCGGCGTATGCAGTCAGAACCAGACTTGAGCCGTTGTTACACCGGGCCTGGTTACCCACCAATTCCCCGTTTTGAGCGTATATCTCGGTCTTTTTACCATCATAACTTTGTCGATCCACAGTTCAGTTCATTCACCATACCATGACATGTTATTCCAGAAAAGAATTATCATCCCACAATTTGCCAAATATGTGGCGAATCATTTGATTATCATCCTTATCAGCATATGGAATTATGAGGAAATGACACCTCCGATTATCAAAGTGTAGAGGGTAGAGCAATCAATATCCCTATCCCGTCATCAATTGAAAGTTTGTCAACCTGTTCAAATAAGACTAGATTTGTTGAAGAATCTACAAGCAGTAAGTCTGGTCAGGCTGAGATTGAAATCATCAATAAGAGGTATGTTAAATGTATTAATAGAAGGGCCATAAGCGGTTAACCATAATGTTATAGAATCAGGGGTTTTGTGGATTTTTTATAATGTTTTTTTTGGCAGTTGATTTTTTCTTCACTTGTCTTTTATACAATATTCCAAAATGAACTGTTAAATACTGAACACTTGTAACTGTTCTGACCGGAAGGTATATCTTGCTTTTTCAGAATGTCTGCTCCCCTAAACAGTCTAGCAAGTGACAGTTCTGTCGAGGCAGAAAGATGGGTCTGTTACGAGTGTCAGCTATCAGCTATTGACCCCTCAAAACTTGAAACAGAACTAGTTTGTAGTGATAACACTCTTTTGACTGACGCAGATGGAACACTATGGCTATAGTGTGCATCATGCCACAGACAGTTCCATTTATTCTGTGTTGACAATCTGTCAGATAGTACAACCGTCCATGACATCAATTCTGATGGTTTTTACTGGTGTTCGCTCTGTGGTTGGTATAAGTAATTGAGCAATTATGGCTGGGGCACAGTTGTTAGATTTTGGCAAAGGCATTGCCGATGTACCTGGAGCACTGGATGTTATTTCTGAATATGTTTGTACTTATGATAATAATGCAAGCAATAACGATGTATTGGAAGACTTTGCTGAAACATGCTTAGATTCTAGCCTCTGTACACAACCAGAATACGGAGAGGATACTGTTAATGTGTCTGAATTAGATGTTGACCGAGATGTTGTTGAAGTGACTCTTCCAACTCTGTCTATACCCTTATCCCATTCTGATTGTGAACTGGAGGTGCAATTCAAAGTCGGTGTTGTGCAGGGAATACGAAACCAAAGCGCTTATCTCCTAATGCGGGAAACATGCTCATAGTTACTTCCCTTCATCCAGCCATAATAATGCATGATATGTGGCAAATCTCGAGGGTACGGTCAAGGAGTTCCTGTACAATTTTCTAGTTTATGATTCCAATTGTAAACGTATACCTGCCAATTTGAAGGTCAGCGGGAAACACCCCTTTGAGTGAGTGAGCGCGTTTAGTTGTACGCTGCAGGCAGCTATATGGCGGCGGTCAGTAAATAGTCGCTTCTGGGCCAGACAATCCATTGATTGTTACAAGTGGATGGACCAACTTCAAAACATCAACGCTCAGTAGACACACTGCATCAGCAGATCACGAGAGATCACTCACAGCCCAAACAGAAAAAGCATATTTGGAACAGGCAGTTTGCTGAATAATATTTCAGGTATATGGCGGCGGTCAATAAATACTCGCATATGGACCAGACAATCCAATCAACACCCTGAGCATCGATCTACGCAATGGGGAAATGATGACATGTATCAACCAAGTCAGCGAGCCTGACCACCCGATTCCATTAGATTCCTTTCAACAGTATTCCCGTTCCTCTCCAATTTTTTGCAGATATCTAAAATGACATTCGATTTTGATTCCGCGCTAGCCAATCAGAATCGCGGAAAATAGGACAACGTACTCTTTTTAATTATTGGTATACTTTTCCTGCAACGTGCACTCGTTTATAAATTTAACAGGCAGATTTGATCCAAAATAATTTGTTTATATAGCATATACTGTTGAACAATGGTTGGCGTTATTTTTCATTTTTTGCAACATTCACAGTTCATTACACCAGTTCAATGTACCTCAAGTTATTATAATTGGACTTTCTGCTGCAGCTCATTTCGTTGCTTGGCATAACCAACACATTACGACCATATTCAGTCATATATCAGATATAATGTATGGTGTTTTCTCAATATTCTTTCTTGGTATTATTCTTTTGCTGTTAAATTAATTTATCTGAAATGTTGTTTCTTTTACTTTAGTATTACAAACACGCATACATCTTTAATCGTGTCGCATTGTAGATAACGACTATAGCCCTAGAACAAAGGCTCACGCTTCAGTGGCTCTTGCTAATTACCTGGCTCGCATCTCTCACCTAGCCATGCTGCAATATTGTCTTAACAAGACCTTTTTGGGTAGACTCTCATTAAGTGAGAGTAAACCCTTCACGCTACCCATCTAAAGCTTACAAAATTTTACGAAATCTAGATTTAAACGCAAGCGCCGAGCGTAATGGGCTTAATTGGGCTTCATATGTAAAAAAAACCCAGTTCTATTTAGATTTGGACTTGGCTTTGCGTGGATATGGCAGAGAGTTAAACATCAATTTTTTAAATTTACTTGTAAGAAGAAGCAAAGATTGCTTTATACAGGGGTGGCATGCAAAACTCCAAACTAGTCCCTGTACGTTTACTTATTCCCTGTTTAAAGAAAAGTTCATGTGTGAACCATATGTACGTTATATCAATATGAAGAAAGTAAGAATAGCCTTATCACAGTTTCGTTCCGTTTATTATGATTTAAGTTGGTATAAGAGAAAAGTTCATAAGAAATCTACTGTGTACAGATACTGTAAATTGAACGTCCTGGAAGATGAATACCATGTTCTGCTAATTTGTGATTATTATAGAAACATTAGAAGCAAATATATACCCAGTTATTTTGCGAAACAACCGTAAAAACACATTTATCCAAATATTGTCAACTTCTAACCGTGTATTTATTGAAAATATTTTTTTGTTTAACTATCATGCTATTTTGAAGAGAAATCAACTCTGCTTTTGAACTTTGTATATACTTGTACTATGGGCCCGTGGCCTTCAGTTCTGAATAAAGATATATAGATTGAGTACTATCATGAATATTTTGTTTATTTACCACATATCTATCATTATTTTCAATAATTTGTAACAAAAACCGACAAAACCATTTCGATATTAATAACAACTATATAAAAACAACGTTGCAAACTCCCGCCTGCCCGACCGTCCGGAACGTTCTGTTTTGCGACCGGACGGTCAGTTTTAAGAAGTTGCACGCCCGATTGTCTGGCTGTTAAATCAGTGTAATTTTGTAATGTAACCTAATCAATTAAGATCAAAGTTTCTTCCCTGACATAAAAATCGTGTTTCTGTCCTCATTCGTCATTGGCCAAGTGATCGAAATTAAATCTATCCGGTCAGAGCCCGTTTTAGATCTAGACCTGCACTCATAACAGTGCATTACTGAGTACGCTCTAGACATGCGATGCCTATATCTGTGTAAGGAGCTCTGGTTGAAGTTCCTTCGTGGAAGACAGATTTTCCATGGATTATAACCGACGAGGTTCACGAAAGTATATATTGTAAAACATGTAGATCGGTGTATGGCCCACTCAGTCATTCGTGACCAACTCGTGTTATTCCCGGGACAAGCCGAATAGCGACTCGTGCCCCTCTGGAAGGATTCCATATTGGCGCATGAACATCAGAACTACTTTAAACAGGAACGATAACTCAATTCTTGCTTGATTCCAATGGTATTTAATATCACCGAAGTAATCATACATTGTATTGCTGTTTGTGTTTTTAAAGAATGAAACCTTTTTGATACAAATAAAAGAAGGAGAAAAACTTATTTGTTACAGACTTATTCTCACGTAATTATTACCAGATGTTCACCTTATATTTCCAAATATATTTCTAAATAGGGTTTAATAATCACCATAGGGATTTGTTTTATTTATTATATAAATAACATTTATAAAAGCTACATTAAATCCCAAAGCAGACACTCAAAAATGACTTTAAAATATTTCTCAAACTGAACATTCGTGTAACCTTGCTGTCATACCCCAAGTGGAATTTCATATGAATTCGCTGAAATGACCAAAACATTTCAGACTAAAATATTCCCAGAGATGTGAGATATAGAATCTATGCCCAATGTTAAAGATTAAAGTTGATCAATTACATGCAGATATACGTTTAATATTATTGTTTTGAAAGTCGTAGCGATATATAATTACATTTCCCAAAATGTTGGAAGCGCACGTACAATCTCCATAGCAAGCCCGCAAGATCGCCAGAAATACCTTCAGTTGGACCCATGAGAGCCGTTATGTCAACAAACGCACGTGCGTGTATTTGAATCTCTCACCGTCAATCGCATGATTCTTATCAAAAACTTCATAATAAGCAGCAAAATCCTGTTAGCGAAGTTCCTTGTACTTTCAATATGACGATATATATTTTCCCTGATTATTTAAACAATGACATAATGCCATAAACGATTTAAGTACTCGGGATCATTTTTACCAAAGCACCGCAGTCATTTACGCGCGTTCTGATTGGTTTGTCGTATTTTCGCACATAACAAGCATCGAGAGGGGGAGTCTTCTTGGAGGTTACGGAAAGAGGCCAGTGGTGACGAATGTTATCGCTTACTGCCTGGTTCCCAAATCACTGCGCGCTGTGAGAACTTTCAACGTGTGAAGACAGAGCCAAGCTCACGCGTTGCCCTGCTGCACCTTCATTAACAAACGGTCATTTACAACAAGCTGACACGTTAGTCAGTGATTGTTAGTTTAAAACAGCATCGTTATTTTGCTTAACCACCAAGTGCAATACGCATTGACAGGTTGGGAGCTAACGGGGAAAACGCCATGAAATACCGGTATTTTGTCACGGCATATCAAGGTCAGAACAAGAGCAGTGTAAGTCTCGGGTAACACAGCATCGATGAAATAATGAAAACGCATTTTATATATCACCCCTTACGTTATTGCACACGGTAATTCCTCCACTATTTCCGCATTCAAATCTAACAAATAGTACACATACTACCAATGACCTCAGTGCAATAAAATCGGAAGTACGCCTCCATCTGCAGACAAATTGCATCCCCAGGAAGGCCTCTATCACGGATTTCACGGTGATTTCTAGCCCGTTTTTTCATAAAATTTCTTTAATTTTACAGTTACATGCTTGTTTTTATTCTCTATCTGTGATAATCTAGTTATTTTGCTGTCCTTCGTCGACAGGTTTTTTTAATGATTTGACGTAAATTATTGCGACTTTGTTTATTATTCAAATCCTCGTCACGATATGGCTGCAATATTGCCGATGTGACAGTAAATTTTAACTCACTCACTCACTCTACAAGCAAGACCTACTCTCGTCGGTGAACATCACACGTCACGCATCTGCTAACGTCGAATTCTCCTACCCCAAGTCAATCGGCACAGATGCTCTCCGCAGTAGGGTCGATGTGCTGGCATACCATTTTCTCTTAGTTGCTGGTACACTGAATGTCAACTGATCCTAGTGCAGTCGCTGCCGTTGACGTCACCGTTACCAAACGATTTCTCAGATGAACTGTCCGGATGTGGTGATCAA